TGGTGTTTATATAATAAAATGTTTTCTTACATTAAAGGAAAACAAAAACAAGGGAGTGCAAAAAAAAAAAATGAATAAGTAATGCTTCTCATCGAGAACTAAGAAAAAAAAACTGTTAGGTATAGTCAATAATCTTGGCGAATAGTCAGCGAGCAGAAGTTTCTCTCTTGCATGGGTTTTTGCGTTTACGAAGTCGTTTCCTTCACTTGTCAGTCGCGTAATATAACAGACCAACTGCGAGCAAACAAGAGAGACACCTCTCCTCGCAGGGTATATTTCTACGGACCAAAGACCAAGTTTATTGATTTTTACGGTTATAAACAATCTATTATCCTTCTCGTACAAATTAAGAACCTAATTAAGAAACTTCTTAGCCTATTAAAATAGTCATTAAGTACCCCCAAAATACAAGCACCTATTTTGCCAGACTTTAAAGGAAATAGGTTCTTCTTAGCAGGTGCTTACTGTAATTACTTTTTTGACGTTCTTGCTGCCATTGCGTCACCATCGTGGCTGCTCGCGCAAGCTCTCTCACGTCATGTGCAATAACGATCAATTTTCCACTGTTCTCGAACAGCAGTGGATTTTAAATAGGCAGAAGCTTGCCTAGTTGCGGAAAAGGTAGTCTCCATCGTAGCCCTCTGGCCGCAGTCACGTATAGAGTCTCCCAGTATTCCCAAGCGTGGGAGCGGGGAGCTACGAATTCGTTTACGTGGGATGCAGAGGAGACCATGGAAAAGGAGATCTGGCTGTTGTGTAAAATTGAAATGAAAACCATTCTGGAGAGAGCTTTCTAATAATGATATATATGTCTGTATGGTAGTTCGACTGGTGATGTCGTTTGCTTTTTTGTTAGAGGAAGTTATTTTAAAAGTCGGGTGATAATATGAACACGTATATGTTTTCTGATCGTCACAAATGAACACAAAACGAGAACAAATGTCGATGGATCCGACACTGCAAAATAGATATTAAACCCTTTCGTCAATAAAATAGAAATACCTGTTGGAACCCAAACAGCTTACCAATATGAATGCGGGTAGTGGGAATTAAAATAAGTGGATAGATCAAATTTCGCCCAAAAAAAAAAAAGTCGAAACGAACCGAACTGATCCTTAAATGAATAATACGAGAATGAAATGGTAAATCAGAAACCCTTTCGAAATTCTTAAATGATTTCGTGCAAAGAAAGTCATTAAAAAGCGTAAAGTATGAAAATGATACTGATATAAATAATTTATATTAATATGTACCCCACGACTTCGATTACCAATCTGAATTTAAATGCAGCTTTTTAATTATTCATCTCGGCGTGCAATTAGGAAAACAGGAACATTTTATGGTAAACTGAATTTCAGTCTGTCGTCAGGGAATCAGCAGAGGAGTTAAAGTCTTAGCAACGGCGTTCATGGCCTCCACGAAGTTGCTCGTTTTTCTTGCTTGGATTTCTTACGGACTGTGTGCTCTGGTGTATGCTGGTATGTTTTTGTGTCTACCTTGAAATAATGTCTGTGAGTTTAAAAGTTGTTAAAAGTATTTTCGGTCAGCCGCTACTGTTTGTTAAGATCGTATTAGCCGCTAATCCATAAGAGGCTAATTACGGTTAACCATGTCTGAACTTGGGATGCATATAGCAACGCCAGTCGCCAGCATTCTGATGAAATACTCATTGTCAAGAGAAGAGAAGTGAATTTTTGGCCTTGTATATAAAAAAGCTGATCTGAATAGTCTTGTAAGTCAGAGCCTGTAAATTAAAAATACTCGTGGGGCCTTATTAAGCTTTTTAATCTTAAGCATGGAGAACAGTCTGCCCGCCAGCTTCTGCCTTTCAATTAAAACAAGGCCATATATCAGCGATCAATACCGATAAAATTTGATGGATTTCTCAGGTTTATCAGTTATTTTTCCCAGATCTCAGTTAACTTTCAAGGTCCTACTACGTTTCTTGTATTCTTACGGTGTTTGCTCATTCTAAATTGACAAAACCCTCCCGGTGAAACTCGGTGTCGCATTCAATTTTGGTCCTGTGAATAACCCGCATGATCACCGCTACATTAATTTTTTCTAGCCCTCCTTTTCTTTCATCTGTTTTAGCTGTATTTTCTAATGGCTGGATGCAAAGTAAAAAAATTAAAAAAAAGCTAGGAACGTCTTGCAACTTTCACTCGGGTTCAATCGCTGATCGATGTACGAAGTTCTACAAACCGACATTCTTTCCGATTGATCCATCGGAGGAGAAAGAACCAGTTGATTTTGAGTTTGAATTCAACGGTAGATTTGACAGAAGATAAACGCTTTAACGGTTAAAAACCGAAATAAAACGCATATACCGTAAACGATGTAAAAAAAAAAAGAAACATCCATTATGAGCCCCACTTCAGATATAGGCGTCTCTCCAAATGCAATCGGTGATTTATAGCAGGGCTCCCATACTCATAGAATATGGTCAAGCTCTTTTTGTTTGCTTGTCACGTGATTGACGGAGCGTACGTACGTACGTACTCGTCTACAGATTGTACGGGTAGGGTAGGGGAGACTATCAAAATGAAGGGAGGGGTGTCTCAGGCGTGTCTTGGTAAATCCACATCTTTTACATTGGACGTTCACAATATTGTCAATTGACAGCTGTCAAAACAGGATAGCCACTGACCAGTATCACATGACTATATCGCAGGCTCATGTGTCAACTCAATGAGGTGACGTGATTTATTTGGAGGCTATCCGCTGACCAGTTAATGGTTTTACTAGATCGCTATCAATGTTCAATCTCATACTTTCTAGCTAGTTTGGGAGCACAGGAAAACTGATAATGCACTCATATTGGACATCAATGTTGTGATCAATGAACAGGTGTCAAAACAGAGTGTCCGCTAACCAGTATCACTTGACCGTATGGCGGGCTCAGGTGTCGACCCATCGAGGTCAAGTTTTTTTTAAAGTTATCCGCTGACAAGTTGCTAGTTTTCAACTGATCGCAGGCTCAAGTTTAATTTTTTTCTAAATTCATATGAAATATGTCGTGTATTTCCGCCACACAATTAAGATTTTGATCTCAAACTGACCTCGGACGCAAAAATTCAGCCAGCTATTAAAGGCAAGGAAGACAGATTCTCTTGACTTTGCTCACCATGATCACTCGTTGGTCACAGTCTTCGTCCAATTTTATGCTGTGATTGCTCAAAATTTGACAGGTGAGTTCATACGCAAAATTTATGCAGCATCTTGAATCTTGTTTACTTTGACGGGCGTCTGGAAAAGCCGGAAACCGGAATCCGGAATAGGAACGGGAATGGGAACAGAAACCTGCGGCCCGTTTCTCGAAAGGCCCGGAAATTTTTCGGGCCCGAAAGCAAATTTTAAATTCAAACTTGTTGAATAGCAACACAGTTCCTAGCTCACAAACCAGTCAATTTTGCTTCGTTTACTGATAGTTTCATTGTATCATTGTCAAAATTATTGAAACTTTCATCTTGAATGTAAATACGGCATACGCAAAATAGCTTTCCGGGCCTGGAAAGCTCCCGGAACTTTCGAGAAACAGGCCCCTAAACCGGAAACGGAAACGGAAAAGGAACAGTAATGTAAAGGGGAACCGATACAAAAACAGGAACACCATCTACCTTAATTTATTTTAAGGTCTTATTCAATTTGTATGAAAAATAAGAAAACTAGCCTGTTATCATGCCCCCCTCCCCGAATCTCTATATATTACCGCAACCCATTGTCACACCATGTGTAAACGAGACACCCATCAGAGACGTTCATTGGGCTCCCATACACTTCAAGTTTGCTACATAGATATATTGAACTGTGCTAAATTGGAAAGTTAACCAGTGAAATAGAAAGTCCACAACTTAAAAAGGGTATTAACACGTACCTCTCTGCCCCCCCCCCCACTCTCCCCGCGCACCAATCCCCATATCCCCATCCCAGCCAGCACTTTATCTACCTCCGGGATTTATTCAAGCCTGTGCAATAGGGACCTTAACCAACGAGAACGTTGACGTCCAGGACGTCAAAAATGGAAACCGGAAGTGGATATTTTCTGTCTTCCAGTGCTCTGTCTATTCACATTTCTACAGTTGAAGATAAAAAGGGTTCGTTGCGTGTGACAGAAGCGTTCCATCAAGCGACAACGTGAACTTCCGGTTGTTATTCATGAAGTCCGCGACGGTCAGCGTTCTCGTTGTTTAAGTTCGTCTGACACGAAAACGCAATGTGTCACAGGCAAAAAGATAAAGAAAGGTTATATTAATTAGATTAACATTTCGAGAGTGTTTTATTCTTTCTTTAATTATCTCTCTGGCTTTTCATTTAAATCATGATTATATCTTTTTCTTTTTATATTTAGTAAACACAGTTTTCATTTCCCTTCCTATTCAGGTTCCTGTTCTTTTTTCCTCTTATTTTTCGTATATACCTAAATAAGAATTTTAATTTAAAAAAATCCAATTCAACTTAAATTAAGGTAAATGTTGTCCTTGTTTCTATATAGGTTCCTCTTCCCATAACGGTTCCTATTCCAGTTCCGGTTCCGCTTTCTGTTCCTGTTCCTATTCCCGTTCCTATTCAGGATTCCGATTCCGGCTTTTCCAGACGCCCCTCAAGTTAAGCCCTGTCGGCTCGGAATAAAACAAATATATGTATTGTTATATGTGGACTTGCTGATATTTTATATTTTGGTATCAATTAGACACACAGAAAATTGACAAACTGGCTCTGATATATACATGGAGGTTGCGACATTATTACCCAATAGCCACCTGGAATTTCCCACAGTGTCATTTCTCAGCTTTCAGCCGTTGTCTCCTGCTGACCTATTTTACTCCTTTGGAGTTTCATTTAAATGCACTGACTATTCGTTCTCATTTTCGTAGCTCTTCCAAATTCGTCAAGTAAATTGCACGTATAGTACGAACAGACCTCGAAACAATAATAATACTGTAATTTTCATATCATAAAATCTTTGCCATTTTGTTTCCGTAGTTCTCACGACAGAGTACAACCGGGTCATAATATTTAAAGGACCAATGGCAGACAAAAGACTTCCTGGTCACGTCATAAGAACTGAAACTGTGGTCAATGAAGGTGGCTGTAGAGTGAAATGTTTTCTTGAACCAAATTGCGTGTCCATCAACGTGGGTCCTGCAGTAGGAGGAAAAAGATCTTGCGAACTTAACAATGACACTGATGAAAGCCCTGAACAGTCTGCTCTGAAGGGAGAAAGTGATTATATTCATTATGCTGTTGAGGTACTCAGTTTAACAAATCGACAACAGTTTTTCCACAGTCAATACCCTTATCGATAATGACGTCAAAATGTAATAAAACTCAAGTATAAAAATTCCCCGCAGGCGATCGATTTCACTGCAAAATTTTGGCCTTGATCTGGGACAACTTAACCTTTCCCTTAGAAAAGTAGAGAGGCGGGAAGAGGTCTTTTCCTAAGGGAATGGCTATGGGTACGAGTTTGGATGTGGTATACTTCATATGACTGAATGACTTCACTGTAAGTATGTACTGTAACGTTAACGTAAGGGGTTTTAAGTAATAACCCGCAGGTTTTATCATCATCAGCAGCAGAGCCATTCCACGGTAACCTGTCGTTGCGGAGAAGACACTTAGGAGACACAAAATCGCTCCTCTGTAAACGACTGAAAGAAGAAGTACAACTTTTATATTTGTTTTACGTAGATGTAAACTAAGTTTATCTATAACACAAGACAAATCTGCTCCTGCTCTTTACGGGGAGATACAGTCAAGGAATGATTGCCCGTTGCGGAGAAGACTCGCTAGAAAAGCGAATTTTTATTCGCTCAATTCAAGGTTAGATTCTTTCGAATTCGGGCATCTTTTAAAATACCTTTTTCCTTACAAAGTAAGAGGTCTTTATAATTAATCGTCAAATGGAAAAAAATATTTAGTCATTCCTTCTTAATGTATCCGAAATCTCGCAATGATTTGCTGAGGAGAAGACGTTGCGGAAAAGACAAAAGGCTGCGAAACCCTGTTTTGTGAAGGGTAAACCGTGGATCACGGATAGTACCAAATGACAGGAGAGGACTGCCGATATAAGGCAGGCTTAAATAAGGGTTTATTGATAACCTGTGGTTATAAATAATCTAATATTGATGATATATAAGTATTGATAAGTAATTTAATCTAGATCGATTGATACAACTTATATGCAAATGAAAGAATAGACAACATCGTCTAATTGAAAGCGCCTCGTGACGTGAATTTTTCCTTGCACCGCTGGTTGAGTGAGGAAGTGGCTGTAGTGCTCTGCTTGTGTACTCTAGGATCATGTAGGGGTGCTTCTCTGGGTCATCTTCCCTTTGGATTCAAGACAGCGAGCATAGGTAGAGAAAAAAGTAACACAATCCCAGCTATTGCCTTGTTAAGGAATGTCCTCTTGACGGTTTACACAGAACTTCCACTTCTCTACGTTTAGGTCGCCATCTATCACTTTCCATACTTGAAACAAACAATGCGAAAGTTTACTGCTCATGCTCAATGCTTTCTGCTAGTCGCGGGAGGCAGGACCCATAAATCCGGCCCCCCAAAACAAGTCTAGCCTTCCTAGCCGTCTTCTGCGCAACAAAAATAAAACATTAAATTTTCGTTGAAATTTTATGTACTTTGATGAATGTTCAATATAGAAAGGTTACAATGACTATTAATTAGAACATTTGGAAAATTTAAACATTTTGACCCGTTTTCGTCACTGCAATCAAAACTCTTCGTAGTGAAATCGTTGCGGAGAAGACATTTTGACTTTGGAAAGTCCAATTCTTTGCACTCGTGTTTAATTTCTCAAGCTAGGTATGTCTATCGTATTAGCCGATCTTTATAATATTGAAGTCCCAGAGCGGCTTTTTAAAGAAAATATTCAGCTTTTCGAATAAGTCAAAAACCATTTGTCTTCTCCACAGCGGCTTTTGGCAACACCTTCAGAACAAATAATTATTTTTGAAAAAATATGACCTGGAAATTGTATGCTTAAAATGTCAGCTTTAAACATTTCGCTTTAATTTTTTAATTCAGTTAATCTTAGACAAATTTGGTACTTTTTAAAAACCGATGTCTACTTTCACATTACCGTAGAATGACCCAGCAACAAAAGCCGCGGTAGCAGCGTCATCATCACCATCATCGTCATCATCATCGTTATCGTCCTTGTCGTCATCATCATCAGCAACAGCATCACGGTCTATCCTCATCATCATAATCATCATCATCATAATCATAATCATAATCATCATCATCATCATCTTAAATCCTTTATACAGTCACTGGATTTGCGAGTACGGACGACTTGCATAATCCACTTTCATCGACGTCTTCCTGTTCTTCTTAAAAGTGCTACTCCCGGGTTATATTCCCATATTTGATTATCTCTCACAAACAGGACACTTGACCCTCAAAATGTTACTCGAAGGCTTAAACTGGAAATTAAAGCTCCTAGTATCGTCTTAAGCTTAACTTAATCTATACTTCAAATCGTTCGTCCTACCGCCATTTTGTCATATCCTTGCACCCAAACAGACCATCAATCTCCTCTACCTCTTCATCCTGAACTCTAATTCCGTCCTCCCACATGTGGATGCATGGAAACGTATATAGACCTTCGTTCCCTGCCTTCGTAATGAGCCTTACGTAAGCAGTTTGCTCTTGGATGTATTTTTGTTCACTTAGGAGCTATATCAGAGCACGGTAACTTCTTCTTTTTATAGATATTCAAGAATGTCTCTTAACTTACGTCAGAATTCATTGCTGTCATTCTCTTTTGTTTGTCTTAACGCCCAGACAACTGTTAGTAGAAAGAGGAAACTAGACATTACGCAGGCTTGCTTTTGCACATTAGGTGTAATTCTAACCCAGAACCCAGGTCGTATTCATGTCAATTGCAAACTACTGCACATTTCTCTTCTATTAGTCCTTTTAATATATAGATTTAGCCAAAGCTAAAAGGGAAGAAACAGCTTTCGCCATAAGCAAGAAGCAAACTGAATTCTTCCTGAAAACCAGGGACCTGAACCAACGATCAGTTGAAAACCGAATCACTTCAATGCGTTGTACAAATGAGCCCGTGATACAGTCATGTGACACTGGTTACCGAATAACCTATTTTCACAAATGTCAATTGTCCATCAGGGAGGTCAAATCAACATTGTACATCTAGCCAGCTGTTTTTAAACGTTCCCTCCAAATGGACCTCTTTCGTCAAGGTGGCCATTATAAACTAAGAGAGCATTCATTGCTTTTTTTCTCCTTCTCTCTTTTTCTTTCTTTTTTTCTTTTTCTCCTTTACTTTACCTTCGTTAGTGTTATGTTCGAACTCATTGGGCGCAAAATGACTCAAATGACTCAAATGACTTCAAACCCGGCTACATGATGTAGTGGACTTGCCGACGTACGTAGAGACGGAGATGTTGTCATAAACAAAATTTCCTAGAATCAAAGCTAAGCAATTTTTTTTATCTATTTAGGCTCCGTTATCACCTTATTTGCTATACTATCAGCTAGCAAGTTGGTCCATAAGCTGCCTCTTCAGGCAGAGTCAAATGGCTAAAATTCAACAAATGCAATGTTCGTCAATGCAAAAAAAAACTACTACTCTCTAACCTGTTCTTTCTTTAACGACACTTCTACTGCATCTTGCTTATTGACTATGACTCCAAAAATAACTTTGCTTTTAACTGTTAGTAGAGTCTCACTTTTCCTTTTGACTTCACTGGCACCTTAATTACCCTATCGGCTATCCTTTGTCAATCTCTCTTGAACTGTTCCAGACCTTTGTGTCCTTTGTTAACCTGCGTTTTCTGATGCGATCTTCTTTCAGCTCACCAGATCCTAGTATCTTTTCGTATTCATTTGGGTTTCTTCTGCCTTTCATATCTTCAACTTGTTCTGACTTCGACATCAGGTATCAACACCTTGGTGTCCTCGTATTGTCGCATCTGTAGATCTAGCGTTACGTGCCTGAATCTTTTTCCTTCTATCCATTATTCGATAAGGCTGACTATGGTTATATTAGAACAGGCATGCAGATCGAGGTGTGTCACATCAACCGGAAACACAAAGGCTGAGACAAATACCTCTACAAGACACTTTCAAAAACGTGTGCTCGATTCTTTGCTGAAACTGGTAAGCAAACGTTTCGCTGTGATGAGCAATGATGACAACGATCCCCTTCCACCAATGTGACAACGATCCCCTTCCACCAATGTGACCCGTGTTCGAATCTCAGAAATAACATCAAACGTGGGTTGATTTCGTTGTTGACTCTCTCCCTTGAGGTTTTTTGGGGAATGTGTAATTAGCTCTCCATTGTTAATTTATTAATTTAGTTTTAAGCATATGTACGAATAATACTTTTCGCCAATAGGTATTCTTCAAGAGCAGCCGATATCCCTCGACTGTTTTTTATTTGTCTTCTCGCGATCTTTTTCAGTAAGTTATTTCGCTAAGCGTTTGAAATCTTTTTTATAGAAACCGTCACTTTCTTTGACTCTGCATTCTCCAACAGAGACGCAGAGACGTTGATAATCATAATGATAACGACAACGACAATTAAAAAGATGATAATAATCATAATAACAAATTCTTTTTGAAATTTGTATACCTTCAGAATGTTTGTAAAATAAACGGAGAACCTTGCCCTGGAGAGAACAATTTGTGCCAGGTGGGATTCACGGACAAACGCTACAGATGTGTCTGCCGTGATGGATACAAACATAGAGAACATTCTACTGATCAGTGTGAAGGTAAGATACAGGACAACTTGTTACCCACGCTATTGAAACAACAAGCAGTGACTATGAGTTCATTGTTTTGTCTAGAGAAATCAATCTTGTAACCAGTGTCTTGCAGGGGATCAAAAACAGTAAAGCTTAGTTTCTCGATTGGCTAATGAAGTTCTGAGTGGAGGATACTCATCAAATTCGCAGCTTTATTTTTTCTAAATCCCACTTTCCAGTGCTTCTAACCAATTCACAATGACAAAATTGAGTGAAAGCCCAGTTTTTTTAACATACATGTTTTCTTCACGTTTTTTTTTTTTTTTTAATTTTTTAAATTTATAATGGTATTTTTTCAAGCACTTTTAGTATACAATTTTCTCGGGAAGTGTATTTGTTCTCTATTTTGTCTCCTTGTACAATTGCAGACATTGATGAATGCAAAGAAGATCTCTATGACTGTCAAGAAGGTATTTAAGCCATGAGCAAAGGGAACGGAACGTGTGAATTATCTTGACTTAAGATTAAAACTCTAGCCAATTTTCAATGTAGGTTCAGTACATAAATTCGAGAAGTTAGAGGTCTTTTTTATTATTTTTTTTGGTTTAATTTTTTTTAGAATCAAGAACCATAATTTTGATAAATAAATAAACTTTTGGGAGAAGAAAAATAACCTAATAATTTATAAAGAATAATTAGAATTAACTTTCTTGTTTTCGTTCAAAAGATAGTGTAAAGAACAAAAATTATAGGCTGAAATCAGGAAAAGAAAACGAAGTCGCCCAAAAGAAATTGTACTGATTAAAAACGTCACGGAAAAGTTCATCCCAATAACTGAGTATGGTCGAGGAAACGTTTGAACCCAAGTGGCATTTCCTGGTCCTGAAAGGACTCGGTTAACGTTGTTGTCGACAGTTACTGACGATTCGACAACCTTTGCCTGATACCAGGCTCCGCATTGGAGGAAAAATGAAAAACAATCGGTGTGGGCCAAAAATCTGCGAGCGAAGAGAGCCGAGAGGTCCGCTGGGCTGAACCGGTTGTAATTCCATAAACAAACGCGGGCGCAGTCAAGCAATGAAATAAATACACTCACGGAAAATTTAGTTTAAAAACTCAACGACTTGCTTTAATTGAAAAGAAGCTATTTAATCCTTAACGAAGAAAAACAGAAAACAAGAAAACAAGAAAGAAAAGCTGAGAGAATCATTACACTTGATGATGAAAATAGCTAGAAGGTCGAATCAGTACAACATTGGTCTCAGAAACTTCGCATAAACAAAATCACTGCCGAAACCCCAAAACCGTTCTAAGTGAAAAATCTACCTACTCTTCGCAATGATTCTTCATTCGCAGTTTACGATAATATATTATCGAAATGTTAGAACTCCACGCAAGCATTCCAGGGATGCGATCCGCTGAATATTACGCGACAATCCCGCTAAATTTCTCATAATTATGCAAAAACTATGCGAATGTTTAGACAAGAGAAAATGACTCGAAGCAATTGGCAGGCTACTTGTTTCCGTCAGTAAGTCGTTTATGTACGGTGCTAGTTACTATTGACTACGATTACGGTTTTGTAACGTCACGTGATATTTGTTATGTGCTCGCGTTCTTGTACACGAGTCTTCAGTGAACCGACTAATGGATTAAAAGTATCGTTTGTTTATGTTTACAAAACCCGTTTGTTGCTGTACAAAGCCACAACGTTACAGGTTTCTTATCTGCCACTGTTTTACAGAGATTATATTTTCGGTTTTCATATGACTTAGTTCAAACTAAGAAACTATCGATTCTTCTGAGTTTCTACTTTCAATGAGGTATTACAGCACCTAAAAATCTTTATACAAACAAATTTTCGGGTTCTTAGTTTTGCGATAGAGGACGCTTGAATTTCCAGACTTTTGCGTGACGCGACGTTTAGCCAGGAAAGCTTTTATGTAGGTTAAAACATAACCGATTTTGGGAGATTTTGCTATCTAAACATTCCTTGTCTCAGTAAATATTACGTTCATCGTTATGAGCTCCTCTAGCGAAGAATTCACGCATTAGTAGGAAAACTCCCGGCGGCCATATTGGTGTCCCTGAAAGCCTTATAAAGTTGGGTAAAACGTTTTTCCGACTATCTCGCATATGAAATACTGCACAGACCTGATTCTGGACAAGGCTTTTTGTGTATTTATCGTCTTTCATTTCCCAGATTCTAGACTTTCTGTATTGTATGGTTTGCATTTTTATTTTTGATGGCGTGACAATAAAAAATAAACTGTGAATTACAATCCTAATAGAAGAAGATTTTTTGCTGGTTTCTTTCAAGCGAAGTTGGCATGAAAGGAGTGTGTATTATTAATTGCCCCCCGCAGGGATTTCGCCCGGATGGTGAAATCCCGAGGTACTCTAGTAACTCGCGCGTATATTATGGCAAGTATTTAGAGTTGAAATACACAGTCAGTATGCCAGAAAAAATCTCGATCTGCTTGAACAGGGCCGCGAGGAATCGGTAGGTAATGATGACGTTTCTGTTATTCGCGCCCGCAAGTACGAGATGGTTAGGATGACGTAAAGACAGAAAATCCCGAAGGGACCGCTTAGGTAGATTTTGTGACATTTATTGTACAGTCATACTTCGATACTCTTTTGCGTTATGTGTTATCAGTGACATTCTGTAGTTGTTTTGAAAGTTATGGGCCAAAAGACACTGGTTAAGCACAGATGAAGTTAGAAGGTGCGTGTAACTGTGTTATTATATAGACACGAGTGTTTTACTGGAAAATATACCACTCGTAAAATTCATGAAAAGTACATTTGGGACCCGAGTGGTTTGTTTTCCATAATCTCACACGTGAGTTTATCGATGACGTAATTTCGGTAATTTCCCTCCGAAATTTGTTGGCGTCTTGCAAACGCTGCCAAACATTCCCCTGAATGAAAATGGCGAGCAAAAGATTCGTCAAGTTTAGGAAGAAGAGGAAATTGCGTCGTTTACCGAAGACCAAGAAGAAGAAAACTGTGTCTGATCTGATCTGATCTGAGTTTCTTAACAGCGAGGAAGAAGAGAGAAACATAGAAAATATTCCAGCCGCCGAGCTCCAACAGTTGACAAAGAAGTTTGTACTCGGAGTAAGAAAGAAAAATGGCGAGGAATATGAACCATCTTCTCTAAGAGGGTTTTTGCAAAGTGTCGACCGCTACCTCCGTAAAAAGGGATGCACATTTTCCCTTTTGAACGACAAAGAATTCTGTGAGGTTCAAGATATCCTGAAAAAGAAGCAGAAACAACTTAAGGCCATATAGGAAAGGGAAACAAGCCCAATAGTGCCGATGCACTAACAGATGAAGAAATAGAGGAATTCTACCGAGCAGGAGTGCTCGGAAATAAAACACCTCGAGCACTTCTGAATACAGTTTGGACGAACAATTGTATCTATTTCGGCATGACGCCTAGAAAAGAGCAACGAGATCGTTGCTGGAGAGATTTGGAGCTGAAAACTAATGCTGACGGGCTTCGTTATGTGAAGTTTTCGGCACCGAGCGCCAAGCAAAAACGAGAACTGGTGAAAAGACAAGAAATGTCAGAGAAAGCAAGCCAAAGACGTTCGAAAACCTTGACAAAAATGATCGCTGTCCTGTCACAGCCTATCTGGCCTATAAGCAACATAGACCACAAGAAATGATGGCAGACGACTGTCCGTTTTATCTTGCTGTCAACACAGAAGTTCCGAAGGCAGGGAAGAAATGGTTCAAGGCAGCTCCACTGGGAGTAAATTCACTTAGATCTATGGTGAAAAACATGTTAGCGGGCTCCCAAGTTCATTCAGACAAGAATTGGTCAACCACAGCGCAAGAAAGCATCTAGTCTAGAAACTTGTGGAACCGAACGAATTTGTGCAAATAACTAGACACAAAAACGTCAATTCACTAAATAGCTACTCCGCTATATCTGACAGAAGACAGCAGCACATCTCTACAGTATTATCCAGGAGAAGGGAATCTTCTACTTCTGTTGCTACTTCGTCTTCGCCAAAAGTAACAGTAGATGAAATTACATCGGTATCTACAGTTCAACTCAGCACAAGTGCAGGAACTTTGCCCTTTCTTTACCAGTGCCAGATAGGAACAGTGAACATTTTCACAAATTCGCAGAATCCAAAAGGCAGCGATTTTGAGAAAATACATCAGTTTAAAAGACGGAGAATTGTTATGGATAGTAGCGATGAAAGCCAATAAACCGTTCTTTGGCCTTTTTTCATGCTTTTTTTCATATTTCGTACACATCTATTGAAAACTTTTTTGCCGCCTTATGACTAAGATTCGGTAAATTATTACTGTTATGATTTAACCATAATTTCAAAGCTTTGCTTATATTTTGTCATTGTAGAGCCCTATTCAGCTCAGTGTTATTTCTCTAGATTATTGTAAAAGATGTGTTCTATTGCTTAAGTACTGTAAATTTGAGCCGTTGCAATTACTTTTTGGCGAATAAAAATCTATTATTTTATCGATGTCAATATTTTACTTACTCGCTGCGCTCGTTCGTAAAATATTGTTTTGTCACTCGAAAATAAAATTCATATCTTCGCGCCACCGTGTAATATCCTCTCTATATATAAACTCTTGGAGAGTTTGCCAGTCACGAGTTTACAAATCTTTGGTTGGAAAGACACTCTTTTTCTCTCTCTTTGACTGGAGCTCAACCCCAAACAAGAAAGACTAGTGAATCAACGGCTAGCTTATCATTAGAAGAACGATGGACGATTACAGAAATTCGCCGACAATCAAATTCTGTGGTGACTTATTCCCTGCTCACAGATGTCCTTCCGCTATAAAGTTTAAAATAAGACTAGAATGCGCGAGCGTGAATTGATCAAAGATCCTTTTAATTTCTAAGGCTTACTTTCCGGCAAATAAAATGAACTGTATGAAAAAGTGAAAGAGAAATAGCGAAAAATTCAACTTCTAAATTAAATCTTTTCTTATGGTTTAGCATAGACTATTCTCGAAACTAAGAATGTGTTGATCAAAGCTGTGTAAATCGAACTGAAACTGTACATATAACCTTGCGTTTCCTGTATTTATCTCACCTGTTGTATGGAATATGCGTGAAAATCTTTATTCCGAGCGTAGCGACTTTGTAATCTTGTCGCGCGCGAAGCGCGCACGCAGTCTGCTAACCGCGCGTGGTCTTAGCCAGCTGCGAAATTCGAGGCTTCATAAATAAATCTTTCTTTCTCTGAATATATGCTTGGTGTCCGCCAATGACGCCATGGAGCATTTTGCGTTTCCAGGCAACATAGACTTCGCCGCCGATGAAAGTTTACCATCGGGGACTCACGAACAATTTCCCATGCAAATGACACACAAGCACAACAAGTGGATCCAAGTCCTCGACCAGGAAGATTTTCCACCTAAACTCCTCTGGAGCGGGAACGCCGACTTCAAATTCAGCGTGAACAACGAAGGAGAAGACGTCAACAAGAAACCGAGGAGCAGAAGGAACATCGCTTAGCACAGCGAAGGCAACGCCGACAAGAAGAGACAGATGAACAGGAGATTGGAATCAGAGGCATTATGATCGTTCGCTGTCGAAAAACCATCCCCACCGATATATGTAGATCAAAGTCTGCAAAGTTTCAGCTCTGTATTACGGCCCGAAGAATAATAATTTTCAGGCGAACTGCACCGGGCCATATTTGTTCTTTGTTTCTGTCTTTTCCTAAACCCGGACGCCGAAATAATGCTAGATCAATACACTGTTAACAAAAAGAAGAAGAAGAAAAGAGAGAAGAACGCATGGACCATTAAGACGATATTCGCGGTTGGTCACCCATCAAGTTCTTAACCCCGACCGACAGGGCTATACTTGAGTGCCGTTGCCAAACCGAGTTTCGCGAGGGTTATTGCGAGATACGTATTTCTAGTTATGAATCGGTATATTTCAAAGAGCTACGCAACGACCAAGAATGCTATTGACCGAGCGGGAGCAGCTGTAGTGTCAACTATTACTAGTTATAAGAAATCTACAAAGGCAACGCTCGATGACCAAAAGAGTGTTCGACAGAAGAATCAGAGTGTGATACAAATGAGAGTGAAAACTTAGTTATGCACTGGTGCGGGCGGCCCACGGAATGCCAGAAAACGTGCATTTGCAGATAGAAATTTGTTCACGGCAAATGTGATGCAGAAAAGTGCAAACTGTATATAAATGCCCAAATGTCTACTAATTTACACGGAGTTGTAATCTAGGAGGCACGTGTGGCATTTGCAGTCTTTGCCCCTGAACAACTATTGTTTCCTATAATTGGCGGGAAAAAAAGTTTTAAAGTATCAGCAACCTAATACAATGCTGTTTTTCCCTTTTCTCGCAGCCCCAATCATCTCGTTTTTAATACTATTCATTTAATCTTTAGCTAATACGGAAACAAAAAGCTGCCCTGCCCAGAGGCCACACCGTTGTCCGCAAAACTCAGAATGTGCGAATGAGCCTGGTTCATTCCGTTGCGACTGCAAAAATGGGTTTGTAAAAGATGGAGCTGCATGTATTGGTAAGCTTGTTGATTTAAAGTCGAACTGCACTAGTTTTGCTATAATATTAGTACCTTGTATGATTATATTTAACCGTTCTCGATCGATAAGGCTTTCCTCTATTTTTCACCAGATATTGATGAATGTCAGTCCAATGAACTGCAATGGTGTACGCATAAATCAAATTTGGAATGCATCAACACACCTGGATCATTTCGCTGTGAGTGCATTCCTGGATTTGCTCGTCATGGTAAACCTTGGCGGTGCAAAGGTCAGTAAAACAGCAATCATTTTTCACATATTATATTTGCAGAGAAATGACTCCCCCCCCCACCCCCCCTTTCCAACGCTCCAACCAGAGACACACAAGGCAAACCAATATGGGATAACTTTATGACTATAGTTTGCTATAGTTTGTAAGAAAACTTTATGACTACCATTTGTAAGAATGTTCACGTACTGGCAACTACAAGAAAGTTATAGTCCTACCTCAGTGCATCTCCTTTGATTAAGGGGTCAGAATATAGATCCTTTTTGTGAAAAATTACGGTCGGTCAGGCCTTTTTTTGAATCAGTGCTGTAATGTTCTATTGAACATTAGAACATGATAATGAGCAGGAACGTAAAAGTGGAAATCAACGTTTAAAGAAAAGATAATGAAGTTGCATGTTTATTTGATATTAGGAGCTTATTATAATTAAAAATTAAGGTTGGAATTCAAAGACTGTATTCTGTCAAGAGGAAATGTTTTTCGTTCATTTTTCGGGAAATAAACAAAATGACTCTGAACAACAGCGCATTGTTGATGTTTGAATATTTGATAAAGTAGTAGATTCAATAACACTTGCCGCCATTAACTTCACATAAAATAGTGACAGGACTGCATAACGCGACTTGCTTTTGTTAGAATGCCAAGATGCGCTGGGAATGGAAAACCATACTATCTCTGATGCAAGAATAAGTGCTTCTTCAGAAAGGACTGTCTCATACCGCGCCTTTCAAGGGAGACTGCACTTGAAAAATGATGGAGATATAAGAGGTTCTTGGGCATCTGCTAGAGACGATAAGAATCAGTGGCTTCAGGTTGATCTAGGCAATCCAAACACCTCAGTGACTGGTGTGGCAACACAAGGGAGAGATAACCATGACTGGTGGGTTATCAAATACAAGCTACAGTATAGTAAACTATCAACCTCAATGGAATTACATGAATACAAAGAAGAATACGAAGACCAAAGCAAGGTAGTACATTGCTGATATCATTCTGATGATATAATTCGGGTTCATGATTTTATCTCAGTCTGCGGCTAGAATACGATGTAGGAAACAGAAACTAGGCTAGGGTATTTTCTATATATGCAGAAAAGCGTATGTTAGCAGATCGTACAGTACTTTGTACATCCGTCAATCAGAAGCTTAATAAAAATAGTAATCCGTGCAAAAATACTCGTCAATACCATTTCCTACTTCCCTAAAATAAATTAAAATCTTCTGCTAAAAATTGTGTCCATGCATCAGCCCCAAAAGCTGGGTGTTGTCTTGTATAGCCTTGCTACTACTAGTTAAGATGAGTCGTCTTCTCGGTTAAAACACCAGATTCCCTAAAGAATAAGAAATAGACCTTGGGCAAATTTGGTCGATTTTATCACTTGACGAAAATAGAAACACATGTTCACAGAGACACGTGTCAATTGATTGGGATAAATTGAAATCTGGGCCATTTTGTCCCTTGCTGAATGACCGTACAAATCGAACACAAAATGGTGCTAAAATTCCCTTTCTGCAAGAGAAATTCGATCTCTCTACATACAGTAGAGAGATTTAGAGACACGTCTTAAAACGGCAAACGTGAATTTGTACCATGTAACCAAGTTTTCCCTTTACTTGTCTTTAACTGTTTTTTTACTTCTACAAAATATTACTAGTTTCACGATATTTTCATCCACAAGAGTTGTTTTCGGCTATTTTTATCTGCCTATTTTCTATTTTGAGAAATTCTCAACTTGAGTCTGCCGTTTGTCATTTGCCGTAAACGTTATTCTAAATCTATGTAAATCAGACAAAGAGACGTGCCCACGCATTACTCGTCCCAGTGAGCCTAATGAACAGCCAGAGAAAAGTTTATGGAGTCAATACTGCATGACAGAAATGAAACTGAGCGCGATCACTTTCAGCAAGCTACTCCACCTAACTCACTGTTCTCGAGTGGATTTTAAAGTTAAGAAAACAAGTTGCCAAGACTCATGTTGGGAGGAACGAGGGGAGATAGGCTAAAATGTTTTAACTCAAAACACTTGCCTACCTAACCATATCGCTTAATTTTCAGGAATTTGATGGAAACAGAGACAGTGACACCGTTGTTCGTCATAACCTAACAAAACCAATTACGGCTAGTATCATACGTTTTCAGCCGACGGAATGGCACACTCACATATCAATGAGAGTTGAACTATATGGCTGTTTTACAGGTAATGTATGTCTTCCATCTTTCACAGTGTCACCTATGTGTTCTGTGTTATCAATTAAATGAATGAATTAACGGATCGCTGATTTACATTGAAGCTGGGTACAAACAACTTAAAACTAAAAGTAACAAGAGAGTAATACTGAACAAGACGCTATCGTAGCGTGCACTTAGGCGTCGTTATATCACGCGTATGTTGGGATTTTTTGAGTCAGGCACGTGTGCGTGTCGCAATATCGTTAATTGCTGGTTGAAATGGGTGAAAAAGGAGATGTAGAGGAATTTTACCTCAGAAATCCTAACGTAAACTGGCTCACTGAATACCGAGCGCGCACGATTACCAAGAAATGTTTACTTATGGACTGGGTTTGATGGTGGGTAAAAAAGAAACTCAACAAAGAAAAAACGACATTGTGTAGAATTTTGTAACTTCAGTTTAAAGTCATCTTGAAACAGTTCGAAAGAGCAACAATTTAAAGACACATTGAATTCTACAATGCTAATCGTGCTATAGTCTACAAGACAATGATCTTTGCAAAACAACAACACGACACCGATAGAGCCCAAACAGAGCGGTGCTGTAGATGTCGACGTTAGAGAGTATGGAACGTAAGATAGAGAAGTTTTCTGGACGACGGCGACCAGAATACAAAGAAAGCCTGGAACTGAGGCAGCCGTCGCTTCCCGCCAAAATTCGATTATTACGATCGCATTGAACTCAGAAGGACGGCGCCATAGAAGACTACCGATCGAAGAGGGAAATATGGCTTCACATAAAAAATTAAGGGAATTAATGGTTATTTGCTATGCAGACAACATGTTATCGGATGAAGGGTTTCTCGTTTTGTGGTAAATACTTGCATGCAACAAGAACAACCACAACAACTTTTTTTCAGTATTCCCAATTTGGTAACATGGTATTACCTACCGTTCTAAATAATTTCAAATACGTTTCATTTATACGATTCTCTAACGAAGAAAGTGAGCTAAAAACACCCAATTTAAATATCGGAGTGTATATTTTTTGTCTCGATTCTTTCATTTGGCTCGTAGGACAATTTATCCATGTAAAGCTCACTTACGCCTTCACGGTTTGCTGTTTGTCATGTTGCATGGATCTTGACATGAAACATAGAAACATTATAAAGATGTATGTTTAGATAACAGAGCTTGGAAATCGAGCTTAAAATGTGACTCAAAGAAACCAAAAAGACAATTTAAGAACGATAATCTGCAAAATTCTAGTTGCTAAATGCAACAAACCTGAGTGAAATGAAAGTTAAATACTCACGATTTCGCCACAATGCCAAACAGACCATTTTCACGTTGCCGACGCGACTGCGACGGCAAGGCGTTGAACAACAGCATGCGCAGTATCGCACAAATCATAACGTCAGTGCGGTTGAAGTTGCCGTCGCCCCGAAAACGTCTCTATCTTAAGTTCCCTAGTTTACGCAACAAGACGGCAGCCGAAAGAAGAGTTTGCCGTCTTCTTTCCTTTCCCGCCCTGTTGCGTAAGTTCATTGTTCGTCGGGACGGCGCTGTTTACATACAGAACAAAGAAGCTCTACTGAGAAAATACCCGGAAAATTTTGGAACACAACGTTAAAATAAATAATAACATCAATGAAAAGGAAACATGTGAAATGTTCTAGCCTTTTCCTTTGAAAAAGCTGTTATGTAAGCGGTAGACGTTCTCAAGGACTGATAGCTACTCTTCCGGGCATAATGAAAAACACCTTGATCATCTTTCCAATCAGAACCTCTAAGAAAAAATCAGAGTCATGGAGGGTTCTTTAAAAACAATATTTTAGTCTTTGAAAGTTGTATCTGTGAAAATCAGAAGAACATATAGAAAACACAAAAGATTGTCCATCCTCGCCAAGATTTCCAAACGCGCGACATGTTGAACAACATGGGAAAACGAGGCTGCAATATCCAAAGGTTCGGCTTCAAGGAGATCAGCAGTTAAATTTGAGTCATAACTTAATGGGATGGTTGCCCACTTCATTTTTGGCCTTCGGAACTTCGTACACAATGCCAACAAAAAAAGACTTCAAAGCCTTTCCTTGATACTTTCAGAAGACCAACCAACGAGTGTAGCAAATGTGACCATCGTTTAATTAATAAAAACAGAAGTCAAGATAGTGGGAAACCAAGTAATTTTCATCACTTGCCCGTTTTAGATAATTTTATCGTTTCAATTATTTTCAAGGAAACCAAGCGATTATTTTCCCTTTTCTTTCACTTCTCGCCCGAAACCCCGCGGTGCACGATATTATAGCCTAATTTCCACATCAGGTCTCGTTGGCACAATCGGCTAATCCGTCAACTTAGCGTCTGATCTGACGGGTCGCGGGTGAGTCTTTTCAAACCCCGCCGGGTAAGCCAAAACAAATAATTATTTATCCATCGAGTAAATTCAAATATTTCTTGTAGCTGAAAGGACTAAGTAATTCCGGTTTCACTTCGTGGAATAGCCGAAACAAGCCGAAAAAATTGAACTTGAACGAGCCCTTTACTTTGAGCTCCGCCAAAGTAAAAACAGTTCTAAAGTAAGTAATTAACAGTTCTAAAGTAAGTAATTACGGCAAGGGCTTTCCTGAGCTCCGTTTGGTCGTACCGCCGCACGTTGCTGTAAGAGAGCGACTCGCGTAAGGTTATGACAAGTCTTTTCTTAATTTTCTGGTACACTTGCGATCGCTGACAAAGCCAATTGGATTTGCATTAACCGAAATCTCTGTATCCGTCTCTGGATCAAAGTTAGGAGATGACAGGCGCGACGAATCACGAGAAAACAGTTGTATTTGATACCGTGCAAAAAAAGTTCGTACGTAGCTTCGCTGGCATAATGTAGTAACAGAGCCCGTTGCCATTTCTTGTCTATAGAGATCATCGTGACGAGTAGATTTTGGAATCTCGAAAGCAATTTATTTAATCTTTCAGCCTGTCTGCTTGTATCATTTACGTCAAACTCGGAGAACGTAGGCAGCCCTGTGGCCATATTCTAGGCATTTTCGGTTTGAATATCGTGTAGCATCATCCTTCTTTGTTAAGAGTACTTAAGCGTTATGAATATTTAGCGACAAAACAAAAGACGCGCGAAAACCAGTTAAATAGGTCACATGCAAAGAATTGAGACGTCAGGAAGTGTCAAGATTTAGTCATTCCATCGAGAAGCAGAAGACTGCTACTTTCTTGTATTTACCTATCAGGATTGACATAAATAATTTTCAGTTCTACTTATACAAGGTATTTTTACTTTTCGTTTAAATAAATGAAAATCGGCAGCCAACTAAATTGTCTCTTGAAAGGAAACGACCAACACTAGGACACTATCATACCCCGAAATAAGCACATGACGTGCATAAATCAAAATAAATTATGAGACCATCGATCCAAAATAAATAAATAATACAAACATGAAAGACAGGCTAAGAACTGTCGAGGTTACATACGTCTATTGTATTAGAAATACCAAAACGGGAAGATAATAAGAATTCGCCGTATTTATTTACGAGATTACGACAAAAGGTTGTGACACTATCGACGTTTATGTAATCCGGTCCCGCGCGATTATATTTTTAAAAAATATTCTTGTGCAAAAAAACCGGATAATCCGATCCGTACTATACTGCTAAGGAACAACCTCAATGTTGGTATAATTGATTAATAGGCCCTAAAGTATCCTCTGTCTTGGAGAATATTTTTGTTATTTCCTTTCACTTAGTTTCATTCAAATGAAAAAACCGTCATCTTGAGACTTGATAACAAAATCATCAACTCATAATGTAACTTAAGAGCTGTCTCCGTTCTTGTCCACACTGAGAGCGAGGGTATTATTGTCAACATACTTCTAGATATCAAGTCTACGTACCGCATCCAGGTCATTTATCATTACTAGAAATAGGCATGGGCCGAAATTTGCACCCTGGGGAACTCCTGAGGGTACAGCACGGCACTCCGAAGCGTAGGGCGCTTTCCAGTTACTCAAAATTTCCGGAATTTCCGGTTCGGCGGTAAATGGAACACGTTTCGTCGGTTCGTCCCACTGGAAAATTCCCAGAAAAAGTGGAAAATCTAAAAAGGTGGTCCCGTTTTCCCGGTTGGAATTTCCGAACGGAATCTCGTGTTCCATTTACGTTTCTCGTAGTTTGTACCAGTTCCAGGTCCACGGTCGGGCACCGCCACGTACCGGGGTCTACGACCAAATAGAACAACTTTTTACCAATCGGAAATTCCACTTTTCCTACCACCGAAATTTCCGGGTTTTTTTCCTGAATGGAAAGCGCCCGTAATCACAACTCAACTTTACAAAAGTTGAATTTGATGTAGGTTTGCAGTAAGTCTTTTGTCTCTTTTGTAATTTAATCAAGACCAGATGCATGAACAAGAATGTCGACAGGATACATACCCTTTGGGCATGGAAAATGGCAACATCTCTGATGAAAGGATCACTTCCTCTTCAGAAAGAATTATCACTTATCGCGCCTATCAGGGTAGACTGCACTCCAAAAAAGGTGGAGCCGGAAAAGATTCTTGGGTAGGTGGTAGAAAAGATACCAGTCCATGGCTCCAGGTTGATTTAGGCAGTCAGTTTACCAGAGTAACTGGTGTAGCGACACAAGGAGGTAACAAGAGGGACTGGTGGGTCTCAGAATACAAGCTGCTGCACAGCCTGGATAACGAAGAGACATCTTACTTTCAATTCTATGTGGAAGAAGGACAGAATGTTAAGGTAAAAATTAATGTATGGTAGAACTGGCAAGAAAAAAACTTGTTATACAATATTGCTGAAAATGAGTTGAATAGCGACGTTGCGCGTTTTACCACCCACGAAAAAAACCTTGCAACCTTATTTGTCTCAAGACAGGTTCGAACGAGGGTAGTAAAACCCGCAACATCGCTATTCAATTCGTTTTTCAGCAGTGTTGCAAAACAAGTTTTCCTTTTTTGCTGCCCGTTTTACTGCAGCTTTACATTAATTAATTGAGGCTCAAGTTATTACTACAGCAACTGTTAAACTAGCTAGTATATATTGTTAGGGGAAAAGTAATTAATATATAACTTTGCAGTTCTTTGATGCCTAAAAACGATAACTAACTATTATATTACTAACTACTACTTTTATTTCCATTTTTTTGAAGCACCATTCCCAAAAGGCTACTATTATTAAATTTCACTTTCCATGATAACTTTTTCACTCTTCATTTCTCTTGTAGTCATTAATATATATTGTGAGTAACAGTACTGAAGATAACTTGATTAATCAGTCATATTTAATTGGTTCAGACAAAGCTTACATATTACATTTCTTTTGTTCTTGCTCAGCAACACGCCAAGAACGACCCTTGCTAAGTTTCAACTGCAGTTTATGTTTAATATTATTGGGGATTTATTGCCCCGGGCCAGAAACTCAAGAGGCATTATTTTAGTCCCTGGTGGATGTATTTACATATCGAATTCCCTGATGGATTTAACGCCCTCCTCGTTCTGCATAATTCTTCTTATCATACTCCAGATACTCAGTCTCATTCAAATCTTTTTAAACTATATAGACAGGAAAAGGTTCGTTTAAAGACATTGCTCATTGTTTTCCTCAATAGTTATTTAGTCG